CGCGACATGCGCTGACCCCCCGCCCCCCCGAAGAAGCCAGTAGCTGTACCGGGGCATAGGGAGTGGGTTGAGAAGGCGCGAAGCGATATCGATAGGATAAATCGACTAGGGATATTTTCTTTGAGCCACCTTTGGCGAGGTAGGAAGGAACGATTGGCCATCGGTGATCGATCCTGTGGGAACGATGCTCTGTCCTCTCGAGGACGCATGGTCAATGGTCTAACCGCTAAGGCATGCACAGCATTAGAGTACGCCCTCCCTCCCCCCCCCCCCCCTCTCCCGCGTCCCGTCCGCTGTTCCCCCCGTCTCCAGTGGAATCCGAACCCAGACCACCATGTCCTGGCAGTCGGCGCCGGCAAGTCTGTCGTCCTAATCGCTACGGGAACGGGTGGACCCGACGCTAGCGCTATCACGGAGGCCCTCCTGCAGGCCGCCGGCAACGGGCCCAGGGTCAAGGTCGCGGCTCCTAAGGGGGGAGGGGAAGAAGCGGCGGAACAACAGCCACCGGAGGAATCAGCCCCCGACCAATCAGATGATGATGATTCCGAGGGGGTGGTGGGAAAGAAGGGTCCTCCCGTGAAGTGGGAGGCGTTGGTGGCGGCGACGGTGAAGGGCAAGGGGAGCAGGAGGGCGGCGGGGGCAGAGGGTAGTGACGGGGAGGTCGGGCCGAGAGTCGTCTTGAGGTGAGGAAGGAAAGGATTCTTCGGGCGTGTGTATCTTGCATTTATTGTAAATGCGTTTTGTCCACACTCCCTCTGCTGGGAATCCTCCCACTTGCTCTCTCTTTTCCTGCCTTCGTTGTGTATTTTCCCTTGACCCCCCCCCCTCGCACGCACACACCCTGCCCCACGTTTTTGCGAAGATGCGAACGAGAGATTTGCTGTGTGACCTGGCACGGAAAGGGTGACTACCTCGCCTCCGTTTCAAGGGGAGAGGACCGTCGAGCAGTCATGATACACCAGGTCTCCAAGGCCTCGACGCAATGCCCCTTCAGAAAAACCAAGGTAGGTTGGGGGGTGGGGCAAGAGAGGAAGATGGGCACGCAAGAGGAAAATAAATGTGGCACGGCAAATGTGTTCCTGTGTAGTCGGGGGGAATGTGGTGATAAATGTGGCGTTGTTGGGGCTCTCTGATGGTACGTACCAAGAGAGACAGAGACAAACAGAGAGAAATATCTGTGCAGGCAAGTTCAATGCGGGTTGTGCTTGGAAGGAACACCATGGCCCACCACAAGCGATATCCCCATCCCCGATCTGTCATAGCGAAGCTCTTGTTTTGCCTCGTGTGTCCCTTGTCTTCATCCCTCGATCCCTGGCTTCATCGTTCCCCTCTCTCTTTGCCGCGCATTTTCTGCCTCGTGCTCTCCGCTTGTCCGTGCGTTTTCCGTTACCTTTGGACCAACCCCCGAACGATCGCTGGAATCGATCGCTACACTACATACAGGGAGAAGTGCAGTGCGTTAAGTTCCACGTGTCGAAGCCCTTCCTCTTCGTGGCGACCAAGCAGCAAGTCAGGATCTACCACCTCATCAAACAGGTACGTGGTACTTCCGTGTGTTGAATGTACTACTAATATTCTTCGTTCGACGATGGCTGTGTATATCCTGCTTGTGCTCGTTTTATCTCCCTCCCGCTCTTGTTGTCCCTCTGGCCCGTAATCCCGTTCGGTGTTTTTGCCCTGGCTTCTCCATGCCATGCTTCGACGGTGGTGTGGGTTGTGTGCCCCATCTACCATCTGGCCGCCTTGTGGTGGTGGTACAAGCTCGTCAGTCGTCTGCGTGTTGAACTGTATGCATGCCTGGAAACAGCGGTGTTGTTGTCGCTTGAAAGAGGTTAGGTGTAAAATGAACCGAGCGGAACATGATTACCCGAAAAATTGCACAACTTTGTCTCACGAGCCATAGCTTTGCTTCGCTAGGGTAAGATGAGAAGTACCGGCAACGATGTTCATGAACAACAACAGATGTTGGAGATGTGAAGGTCGAGGTCGGTGGTGCTGATGCAGAATTGGCGAGATAAGCATCACTCGTCAGTAAGCACAGAGTAGTAAATTATGGTCCCATATGCAAGGCCGTATGGTAAGGCCGGTTGCCCTTGCAACGGCCTGTGAAATCGCGCGACACAGATAGCTAGGTGCAATGTTGATGTTGTCGGACACCCTTCATAGTGCCGGGTGCTCGGTACTAAAGACCGGCCATGTCCCTGGCACCACCATGCGGCCTGATACAGGGGAGTATAACTGTACCAACACCCTCGATATTTTTTGTTCGTGTGACCGTCGCTGTAACAAAATCAGATGCTGGTGAAGAAGCTCATCAGCGGGTGCAAGTGGATAAGCTGCATCGACGTACACCCCACCGGCGACCACCTGATCGTGGGAAGCTACGACAGGAGGGTGGCGTGGTTCGACCTGGACCTCGCCAGCACTCCTTACAAGACACTCAAGTACCACACCAAGGTATGCGTGCATAGGTGCACGCCTACCCCGAAGTGTGAAGTCTCGGGAGATGAGGGAGGAAAACAGTCCTGGTAATGTCTTGCTTGTTTTTTTGTTTTTGTTTTTCCTGGGAAGTACAACACGATGGATCCTTGTCCATCCATCGAAAAGTCTCCAGGATAAACCAAGTCTCCAGGATAAACCATCTAGCGATGAACAATCGCGTTAGCGGAGGCACTACCTGTGTCTCTACGATTCCAAGGTGCTGGTTTGTAGTTGGTAGCTTATCCACACACAGCAGTAATGTTGGGAGCCAATCAGATGAATCCAGTTCCGGCACGGAACACTGCCATCTACCGCCCCCCCCCCCCCCCCCCCCCCCCCCCCCCCCCCCCCC